GCTGAACCCCCTACCCTACCAACCCTGTAAGCCACATCCAATTGCTCTGTGGGCCATTGGTTGCTGATCCATGAACTACAAGATTCAAGCCACTAAGAATTCAAGCCCCTCCCACTTAAGGTTTATTGTAAAAGCTCTAACAAACAGGTCTTTATAAGAGGAAATGCAACGTATACAAACCTTGCTTAAACAGTCATTGCAGTAGTGAGAGCCTTTTAAAGAAACCGAAGGTGCCATATTTAGGTGCAAAGAGTTGGCGCACACACGTGATGTTAGCTCCGATTGTGTAATGTGCTCCTCCAAGTGCCCTGCAGCCCCACTTGTGAATTCAGAACAGGGAAAATAGCCAGAAGATGGACAGCTCTGAAGGGCTGGAAATTGATGCAGTTTGTGCATGTTACCATGACAGGACTGGAAATGGAGTTTTCCACAACAAGGCAGATGTTGACAGGAAGATGCATTATTTTCTATGCACATGCCAGGGAAGTCGTTTGCAATGCCTGTCAAACTGCTTCTAGCTGGAGCATTCTTGAGTGAAGATGCAGACTGATAAGCAAACCCTGACCCTATTTGACAAGTAATTGTCCCAGTGCTTTGAGAGTCTAATATTGTGCCAGGGTGTATCAAGCTACCACCACCACTACCAAAATGCAACTGAGACGTGCAGGAAGAGTCAGAGCCATGAGTGCAACAGCTTACTTTGGGGGCAGGAGAAAGTTGTATTTGCTGTTGATGAATAGGATGAACATCAGGAAGTGGTACTGCTGGAAAGAGTTTAGAGCTAGCATGGTGAGGAGATGGAGCATCCTTCAATTCCACAGCAGTTTTGTTGTTCTCCATGTAATCTTTCTGGTGGAGGAGGGAGGGGCAGAAAAACCAAAAAACATACATGAGATTTGCCCCAAAATGTAAAAGGTATAACCCACTAATTTACAGTAACAAACAGCTAATATTTACTGGTTATTATTTTAACTATGACAGAAGCCAGGAAATCATAAATGATTATAAATATCACCATAACGTCAGATGCATGTGCTAAGCTCTGCACATCTTCTGGATGAGTTGCATACATGAATTTAAAAGGGACACATTTCTGGGATAATAAATACAAAAGACTATAAACCAGAACAGTAACTGACTACAAAGATGGATCACCAAATGCAGAAACTGAAGGAGGCAGGAAGAAAAAAGTTAAGAAATTAAAATTGAAATTATTTTTTTCTGCACTTGAAAAGCAAAGCAAATGGACATATAATAATCACCAGGACATACAACTTCTGTAATGGAAGCAAACTGGAATGCAGAAATAATAAAGAGATAGTTATAATATATAATTTACTTAGAGTACATACATTATTTACTTAGACTTGGATCAAGGCCATCAAAAATAGGCTGTTAAAAGATACGTAGTAGCCACGAAGTGAAAAATGAGCATCTAAAAGCTAAGAACAGAAAAAGAACAAAAACAAAGAGACAGAACACAGGTAAACTATGATGGCAAAGCAGTGATTTTTCAACAGTGGAAGAACAAAAAAACCCAAAACAAAACATGGAATGCCCATGGGGTGGCTGGACAATGGAACCAAATTTGTTGGGTACATGGGTTTTTTTGCACATGTAAATTCTAGATTTCATTAGATTTTCAATCCTTTACATTAGAATTTTAAAATGCAAGTGCGTAGAGCCGTGGGACAAAAGATAGGCAAGAATTAGGCATTTGTAAATAACTGTAAAAGGCTGTTCTAAAAGTTTGTCTTATAAGAAATAAGACTATTTGTTATGATTCAGGGCTTAAGCAAATCAGCTATGAAGATGGGAAAAATGCCTAAACCACTTTAAAGTTGATCAAACTGAGTATTCATACATTGTATTCTCTATTCATTACAGATGGAGCAAAACTGAGAAAAAAATGTTATTTGCTAAGAACTATTCAACTGGTCAGTGACAGAGCTGACACTACTCAATTGCCCCACAACCCAGCCCACTGCCCACCTAATACTGCATAATGTGATACATTAGTTTATTCTAGTACATTAGTTATGTTCTTAGTACAGTGAAAAATTACCGTGTCTGTACTGCAAGGTGAAATCTTTCCAGTCGCAGAAAAGCAATTAGAGAATTTCCACAGCCATGGTTTAACATCATTATCTTGTCGCTGAAGCCACCCAAAAGATCTATTGCAGAGGTTCTCTGAACTGTTTCCTTCCATTATACAGCCATACAAAATGGTTCAACATTCTTTCATCCCTCTTTTCTTTCATTCTTCCCACCTGTAAAAAAGTGAGCATGTTTTAAAAAATATTTTTAAAGATAATGAAAACAAATATGTTGCTATATTCTGTACTCCAATAAAAAGGAAGTTTCTGTATCTGTACTACTTGATTCAACTTAATAAATATTTTGAATGCAACTTAGACTTATTTCTACAATGTGTTTTTGTAACTTTCTCCCTGAAGCTGAACGCAAACCTGAGGCATAAGCAAGTTGATAAAAGCATTTTTTAGGCTCACAGTAAATCTACCGACTACTAAAGTGGTTTTATATAGTTCATAATATCACGCCACTTATGAATATTAACCAGGAAACCAGGATCTAGATTTTCAAGAGAAGTGTCCAAAATGAAACCCACTGTACTCAACAAATGGGAAACTAAATAATCATCAAATTTTCTCTCATTTAACCTGCAACAACTTATACATTCATCTGTTTTGGACAAACAATATAAATGCTTGGTATTTATATAGGCAGACAAGGTTCCTTGGGTGAATTTGATATCTTTTATTAGACCAACCCAAATGGTTGGAGAATAGTTATTAAGCAAGCTTTCGGGTTCAAAAACCCTTCGTCAGGCAGCACACACCAACTGCTGCAGCTTCCTGAGCCTTTCCCTAATCCAGACTCTTTATAAAATTTTGCTAACCCTCTGCATGCCTTGAGATATAAGCATCTGTCTTGTTTTAGAGTCCCAGAAACATAAGCAACCTCCCAAGACCCTGCAGCAAATGTATTAAGTGAGCTTTGATTAGAAACAGGCTTCTTGACCTGTGCCAGCATGCTGCATCCGCTAGGCCAAGCTGGTTCTCAGCCTTTAGTTTCATTTATGTAAGTTGGGTGGTGGCTGCCAAACCCTTTACTTTCGGTTTTTTTTAAAAGTAATGTTACTGAGAAGTTACAGCAACTACTAGGAACATAAAAGCCTAACTGCCCACGTGATCTCCCCTGCCAACTGCAGCCTCAGACCCGCTCTCTTCAGAACAGGACATCGAGCCGATCGACTCTCGCAACTCGAAAGCATTCGGCTTATGAAACGGAGACACTTATTCAATCACTTTAAAACAAAGGGCAAGAAACGCTGACGTAACACCTGGCAAGAAACACTTATGCAAGACCAGAGTCAAGGAACCCTCTGCGCTTTTCACCTCTGGGCTGAGGCTCAGTAGGCTGGGGCTTGATGGGGGTTGAGCGGGTCCCCCACCCGCTTGGCTTGGCCGCGGCGTTTTGCCTGGAGCAGCAGCAAGACCAGCAGGGGCCGCCCGTGAGGCCGCGGGGTAGAAGCCCCTCACCCCCTCCCAGTGTCTCCGGGCGGAGCCCGCTCACCTGGGCCGCTCCCGCCGCCGCCCCTCACATGCTGGCCCGCCCCTCGCGCCCCTTTGTTTTGCTTCCCCCGCCGCTCCGCGCCTTCCGCCGCCAAGCACCGCGCGCAGCCGCAAACGGGCGCCGGTCGTAAACGGGAACTGTCGTAAAGCCCGTCCCCTCCCGCACCTCCCCCGCGCAGCGCGCCCCCCCCCCGCGCAGGGGCGGGCTCGGCCGCGCAGGGCCCCGCCCCCGCAGGGAGTCTGGGCGGTGTCGCACGCACGTCTGTCTGCGGGCCGGGGGCGGGGGTCCCCGTAGACTGACTCGCGTTAGAGCCGCCGCGGGGTCTCTTGGCCGTGGGCAGGATGGCGTCTCCGTGGGAAACAGCCGGGAGATGGGCAGCTGAGCGGCCCCCCGCGCAGGGGCGGGCTCGGCCGCGCAGGGCCCCGCCCCCGCAGGGAGTCTGGGCGGTGTCGCACGCACGTCTGTCTGCGGGCCGGGGGCGGGGGTCCCCGTAGACTGACTCGCGTTAGAGCCGCCGCGGGGTCTCTTGGCCGTGGGCAGGATGGCGTCTCCGTGGGAAACAGCCGGGAGATGGGCAGCTGAGCGGATGTTTCCAGTGACCCGGCGCCAAGTAGCCCCTTGGCTTTTCCCAGATTGAGATATTTTGGATACGAATTAAAAGGCGGTTTTAAGTTTTTTGGGGGGTTTTCGATGGTTTACAATAGCTTTGAAATAGTTTGTCTGGAAATCGAAAAGGAAACAGACTTTTTCCTCCACCCTGGCAGCTAGGTAGAAGAAGGCTCTCAGGGCCGCTGAGATCCTGAAATGGAGAATATCTGCCCAAGGTTGTTTTTTTTAAATGTCTGAAGTAAACAAACGTGAAGACAGAGGGGCAGATCATAAGTGTGACTTTTTTTTTTGCCAGGTGGGTGTGTGCAGGCATAATCCCCCTCCCCCCTCCAAAAAAAACCAACACAACCCCCAACCCACCAACCCCAGCATTGTACTTTTAACTGGGCGCGTTCCCATGCCAAGCCCCAGCAGGCCCAGAAGAGGCAGCACCTTACTTCTACCCAGCTGCAGCGTCTGTGAAGATCGGGTGCTTTAGTGGGGCCTTTTTGGCACTTTGATCTAATAGCTGATTGAATTGGCTTTAGCTAAAAGCATCAAAAAGCCCTGTTAAAGAGACTGATCTTTACAGATGCTACAGAGCTGGGTAGAAGTCACCAGAAGGGGCAGAACTGCTTCCAGTAAAGTGTGTTGGTTTTTTTTAATCATCTGTAGGTGGCTCGGTGGGTGCTAAGCACCTGCTAACTTTTTTCGGAGGGTGTTTGAGCCCTGGAGCCTATGGCTCCATTAAAGTTTAAAGATCAGCATCAACTTTTTTATCTGCCAAGGATCAATGCTAAAATTATTTTGCCAAGTTTTTATGTTATGGTTTTTTCTTTAACTGAAGAGTCTACACCAGGGGTAGGCACCCCCAGCATGTGTATGGGAGCGTGGCACATGAAGGTATTTTGATTGGCATTTGTGCCCCAGGATGGACAGCAGGGGAGCCGTGAGGAGCCTAATCCTTGTTGTGGCAGTGCAGCCCTGGCCCCTTCCCTATCATCCGCCCTGAGGCGCGTGTGCACCCACTGCTGGCAGTGAGCGAAGCTGGGGCTCTGCGGACCCCTGTGTCCACCACTGCTATGAGTAGCCCACACTACTTGCATGCCTTGGGACAGATGTCAGGAAAGGGACAGAACAAAGATCGGGTCCCCATGCAGGTCCTCCACCATCCACCCCAGCACGCCACAATCTTACAGGTTACAGGTGCTGTTGGCACTCTGCCCAAATACAGTCAACCCCTGGTTTACATTCTGTCATCGTTATTACGTTAACGCCTTGGTCCCTCGAGGACTCAAAGGATCAGCATTCCTCTTCGCAGATATTGAAGCCTTTGCAGGATTGGTCCCCTATGGTTTCAGGGGTTTGACCCTGCATGGTCAGTCAACAGGATCAGGATCAGAGTTTCAGTTCCTTGCAAGGATATATGGGTGCCTGTTGCCAGGTGTCTTGTAAAACTAGTTGCTGAGCTGCTAGTGCAGTCAGTGATGTATGTTTGCATTCATGTGGGCTGAATCAAACTCCAGTGTGGTAATTTGTGTATTTGTTTTGCCTCTCAGGAAGCAAATACCAGACACACCTAATGAGCAAGTATTTGTGTGCATTATCCGATAGGTGCACCCCTGTGGTACTTCAAAAAGCATCAGGATGCCCTAGCCCTGTTATTAATAAAAGTAGACCTGAAGTCTGGTGAAGTCAAATCAAAGAAATCTGACTGCACTGAGCTTTTGGATCTGGCTCCTTGACGGCTGGTGAGCATTCCTGTGCTTCCCAGTGGCCTAAGCTAGATAAACATTATCTGGGTGAGATCACTCAGGTCATTCCTAGCTTCTCTTTACCTTTCTACAGGATTGTTGGGCTTCTATTGGAATAATTTCCAAATGGAAATAATAAAAAAGGCACATGTAAATACTGTGCTTGGGTGTCTCTCAAAGGACCTAACCTTAGGTTCATAGTTTCTATGGTCAGAAGGGACCTGAACAGATCATCAAGTCCGACCCCCTGCCCTGGGCAGGAATGAGTGCTGGGATCATAATACCCCAGCCAGATATCTATCCAACCTCCTCTTGAAGACCCCCAAGGTAGGAGAGAGCCTCACCTCCCTTGGGAGCCCATTCCAGAGCCTGGCAGCCCTAACTATAAAGTAATGCTTCCTGATATCAAGCCTGAACCTGCTCTCAATCAATTTGTGGCCGTTATTCCTCATTATCCCAGGTGGTGCCCGGGGGAATAGAGCCTCACCTATTTTCCACTGGTCCCCCCTGGTGAGTTTATAGACGGCCATCAGATCCCATTTCAGTCTTCTCTTGTGGAGGCTGAATAGGTTTAGGCCCTTTAGTCTATCTTCGCAGGGCTTGGCCTACTGCCCCCTGACCATGTGAGTGGTCCTCCTCTGGACTCTCTCAAGGTTAGCCACATCCCTCTTGAAGTGTGGCTTCCAGAACTGTACGCAGTACTCCAACTGCGGCCTGACCAATGTCGCATAGAGGGGAAAGATCACCTCCCTGGACCTGCTTGTGGTGCATCTGTAGATGCACGGCAAGGTGCGGTTAGCCTTTCTGACCACTTCCACGCATTGGCGGCTCATGTCCATGAGTTCAGTTAGAGCAGGGTGGAAATGCAGAATCTTCAGTAACCAAAGAACAGATTAAGAGGGGCTTTTAATATACCAATGTTACACTTTAATATTTGAACTAATTACAGCTACTTGCCCATATTTCTGTGAAAACCTGATCCTTTGGAATGAAAACTTTCTATCCTGGGTTTAAGTGCACTTTTAAGACATTCCAAGGGAAAAGTGTACGTGTACACATGTTTCAGTGCTGTTGGTTGTAGCTGGGTTGGTCTAAGGATGTAGGCAGACAGCGTTCTTTGGGTAGATGTGATATCTTTTATTAGACCAACTGAATAGTTGGAAAACTTGTTCTTTGCAAGCTTTTGGGTGTTTGTGCTGGACAGCTTGCAAAGAATAACTTTTCTAACTATTTAGTTGGTCTAATAAAAGATATCATATCTACCCAAAGAACCTTGCCTGCCCATGCGTGCGTACCCCCCCCCCCGCGATTATAATACTTTTGCCTCTAGACCAATACGGTTACAACCTGGATACCTGACACATGGAAGATATAGAATTTCAGCCACTTTTTAAAATGAAAACTTCATAATTTTACAAAGAAGCAAAATTTACCACCTGAAACCCGAGCCCATGCTCCTGCCTTTGTTTGGGCTAATTTGCATCCTAACAGAGCACAGAGATACCTCTACACAAAAGAAATCCCTGCCCAGAAGAGCATTTAATCTTTCCACTCTTCTGTGAAATATGAAATATCATAACCAGAAGGAAATATGAGTCTACATCCTGCTTCCCACCAGACAACCTGGAGGCAAAAAGACTTTTCCAACTTTTCTGAGCCTAATCTGCACATGACCTGTTCCAAACAGGGATGTATTTGGCAGCTGTGTTGGTTTGAGACAAAACTAAATGCAAAGCTCTAGAACTCTTGGTTCAGAGATGATACCTTTTATTAAACCAATTAAAACATGGGAAAAAAATTATCATTTGCTGCAAAATTTTGGGCACGCACGTCCTTCCTCAGAACCTGAAGGGTGTGTGCACCTGAAAGCTTGCAGCAAAAGATTATTTTTTTTGCTATTTTTAGCTGGTCTAATAACAGATATCATCTCTGAACCAAGAGCTCTAGAGCTTTGCATTTCGGTTCCAAACAGGAGATTTTACCACACTGTCAGCTCTCCTGTGAAATATGAACTTTCATTTCAACCCAGGGGAACATTTACAGTCTTTGCAATCTCCTATGCCTGATGAAGGCTGCCCGAAAGCTTGCAAATAAATAATTTCTTTTGCCAATATCTAGCTGGTTTAATAAAAGTTACCACCTCTGCCAGGAGTTTTAAGTCCTGGTTATAACACTAGAACTCTTCTGTCCCAGCTCACACTACAGGCCCTAAAAACTAATGCATCTGCATTAACGTGAGGAAAGGCAAACGCCGATGTAAGCGCAGACATGGGCTTGTATCATCCTACGGCTTCCAAAGCCCCCAGCAGTTTTAAGTGGTGTAAAATAAATAAATACATGAATCACAACAGAGAGAGACGGTGACAGAGGCAGACGGTCTCCGGGAGCGCCGAGAACTGGAGAAGAGCGGACCTGCCTACCCCGCCCCGGGCGCTCACGTTCCTTTAGAAAGAAACAAACTTTCTGTACGTTCGGAGGGCGGTGTTCTCTCGCAGCTGATTGGAGGAGCGCGTTCTGAGCACGTGACCCGGCGGCCAATCGGGCGGCGGGCAGAGGTTGGTTGTATTGGTTCGGATGGGGCCCGGGGCAGGGCGGCGGAGCGGGCACGGTGGGGCCGGGCAGTGCGGGGCGGCGCGGCGCGGCGCGGCGG